CAGGATGGTCAACAAATAATTTTCAAAAATCAAAGGTAAGTCTTAGGTACTTCAAACAGGGACTTTGTTGTAAGAAATATTCAATGGGCCATAAAACTGCATACAAAAATAACTTCTAAAAAACCCAATTAAAAAGTGGAAAATTTTGATGAAAATTTGTTGAATTTTCCTAAGTTTTTCATAAGGTTTTTTGTGGATGTTTTTTGTAGGAAGAACTGTACTTTTCTAAAAAATATTCAATATATGTATGTATATAAATGTGTTTACTCAGTCACAATGAATTCATAACGCGAACAATCATTGTTGCCCACGGCACAGTACATATTGTGTCCAGTCAATCCAATAATACTTAAATACAAATTTTTCTTACAGATCGCTTGGAAGCGTGCTTTGTGTGATGTTCTTTTATTGCGAGCAGAATTTTTAGTAATGATCTCGCTCATTGCGATTTATTTGGGTCTGATATTTGGGCTTCCCGTACCTAAATGTCCCACGTAAGTTTGTGCATTCAATAACTTACATACATACATATAAGGATGGTTCTTAAAATATTAAATACCAAAATAAAGACATCCACGAAAAGTTTAAAATTTTAAAATAATTGTTAGGGGTCGCCAACAGGGAATGAAAAAATTTAAATCTGATAAACTCGACATATTTTTGAAAACTATTCATATCCATAAATTCATAGTCAAAGTCATCGCCAAATGAATTCATCATGCAATATTAATTTCCAAAGTGCAGCATTTTTTTAATTTTTTCCAAGTTCTATAACACTGGTTTACAAATAATTATTTTGAAAACTTATAGAGGAGGGTTCGTACGGACTTCCTGAGCTGAAAACGATTTTTTTTTTTAATTTTTCTTAAGGCAGTCTTTTTAGACAGTAGTATTTTTGTGTGTTTACGATATATGTACATATCACTTATTTTGACCGGAATAAAACTGGCTGAGTTATAGCTAGCCAAATTTAAAAATTTGTAAAATTTTCGCGATTTACGAAAAATTTCAATTTTCTCAACCCATAAAAATTATTTTAAAATTTTGAAATTTTCATAGGTCTCTTTATTTTGCATGTATGTAGAACAAAACAAAGGGATGACCCGACAAAATTTAGATGTTGATATTTTTAAGAACCACCCTAATACATACACACTACATTCGTATGCATATACATAACTATATATCAACTACTTACATACATATAATTTCATATTTTCGCAGCGGTTACTTGGGTCCTGGCGGCAAACACGCTCTGGCAAATTATCCCAATTGCACGGGTGGCGCCACTGGCTATATTGATCGTCTGATTTTAGGCAATTCACACATCTATCAGCATCCGACCGCAAAGTATGTGTACGGCGCTCAGGCATTTGATCCGGAAGGAGTTTTTGGTAGCCTAAAAAACTCAACTCTTCATTTCTAAATTCCTCTTTCAATTAAAAACAAATCATATCATATTTCAGGTTGCCTTTTGACTGTGGCTCAGACCTTTTTAGGCGTGCTCGCTGGCGTTATTATTTTGGTTCATACTAACTGGAGTGCACGTATTAAACGTTGGCTCTACTGGTCTATTGGATTAGCTCTGCTGGGTGGCACACTTTGTTTTTTCTCTATAGAAGACGGTCCTATACCAATTAATAAAAACCTCTGGTAAGAAATTAATTTAAAAACGTCTATATGTTGTACTAATAGATATGCTAATCTTATTTTTTCTCTTCTCTGTAGGTCTCTTTCTTTTGTTTTGGTCACCTCTGGATTGGCGTTCTTTGTGCTCAGCTTACTCTATTTCGTTATTGATGTGCAACGTTGGTGGACTGGCTATCCATTCGTGCAGTCCGGCAAGAATGCCATTATAATGTATGTGGGTCACACCGTGATGCATAAAATGTTGCCATGGCATTGGCGCATTGGACCAATGAATACTCATTTTGTGCTCTTGCTTGAATCCACATGGAATACTTTGCTTTGGGTTGCTATTGCATTGTATTTAGATTCGATAAAATTTTACTATAGCTTATAAAAGAACAAAACTTAAAAAAAAAGAATAATGCAATGTGAGAGCAATAGTTTGAGGTATTTTAAATTTAAGAATTCTCGAAAATGTTGTAATATATATGTATAATACAATCAAAAAATAAATGCATAATTTTACATAGTCATATACTATATAGTTAGATAAGATTGTAACAGTAAATTTACCTTAAATTTATATCTACACATATTTAACGCTTATATATTTTGTAATACAAACTCGTATTTTTAATCAAATGGATTTATCCCTCCAGTATTGGTTTGAATAAATATTTTGTATACTTGATTGGGCGCTATTTAAGAAATACACGAGTACTGGAACAAAATTTTTCTGTGGTGGTCAGCGAATTATCTGAGTGGTCGACATACGTCAATAGTCTTTAGAGACAAAACCAGCAACCCTAGGAAAATTAAACCCTGTTGGATTACTACATATCAAAGCTACCTCAGCCAACAGAGGGAGTCTCTATTGTCTACTATGCTGACGACTGCTTTACAATGGCGTCCGGGAATGTAATTGATGACTTGTACTCGAAAGTAAACGGTTACTTCTCCGAACTTTCTCACTTCTTCACTGCAAGGAACCACCTGGACGTAGGAGATCAGATGAGAGCTGGGAATTCACGCCGACGAAGAAAAAATTCCGACGGCGAATAACCCAAAAATTCTGGGAGTTACCTTCGATAGTCTGCTCTCCTTCTCGGCGAATACAACGGCAATTGTCAACAAAGCCCAACAAGGTCCCCAAGTCGCTAGCCAGCAGCACATGGGGGCAAATAAATTGAAACGTTGTTGGCAACCAGTAAAGGAGCATAACTCGATGCTCAGCAATCAGTTCTTAGTAGGGTGTCACAGACGCGGGCACCCGAACAGACACTTGCTTGCAGGTTCATAAACTAACCTCTGCACCCGACAGCATACCGACAGGCCAAACAAGCGCATTTACAGTGAGTCGGTTTCGATTTACACCAACTCCCGACCTGTGATTGCCGTTTTGGGAATACAGCCACCCGACGTGGACGAGACAGAGCTTTGTCCGCCTCGGAAGAATCACACCACCATAGCCCAATTATTCTCTGGCTAATGCAGCAAGCTAAACTGCTACTTGAGCAGGATAAATGCAGATGTGCCCAATGAGGGTCTGGCATGCGGAAAGACACCTCACGACTCGCGACATCTCATCGCATGCCACCCTCCCCTCTTCCTTTTTGGCTCTACAACCGTTTGTCGGTTTGGGCCGAGACAAGAAAGCGTCTTCAATTGCTTCTCTCCTGTGCGAATTTGCGCCAGTTGATTATCCCGAGCGCAGACAGGTCCTTCTGTACTTGGCTCTTCCATACTCTCTTGAAAGAGAGGAGTGAGAGCCAAACAGCCAAAGGAACGCGAAAAAGCACTTTTCGTGTAACTATTCCGTGCTCATCACGGATATTTACGGTAATTTTGGTAATTTATTTAGTTCTTAAGGAAGCAAAATTTTCTGTACATATTACTTTTACTGTTCCGTCAGAGCAATTTTTGGATGAAAAATCGCTTGATTACTTCAAAAGCAGTAAATAAGTTCATTTGGGACAGAGAACATAAACAAATAAAAATAAAACTTTTTAATATACATCCCACATTTCTATAAATGTACTACAAAGTAGAAAATACTTTTTCCAGGTGAATTATGTATGTATGTATATCTCTATTGAAATATTTGATAAAAGGGCAATATTTAGCTTTCTTTTTATTTTACTATAAAATTAAAAAAATTGCAAAAATTTGCTTTTTGACACTTTTAAAGCAAAATATCTTAAAAATTTAGCCATATTAATGTTTTTAATCTTAATCAACGGAAAAAATGATATAAAAATTGGTTCTTTGATATGCCAAAAATGTTGTTGGCCAGTGTAATCTTTAAATTTTTTTTAATGTAGAAGTGATTTTCGGGATGATATAAATTCCTTTAAATATATTTATAAAAGCAGTTCTTATTCAAGTATATACATATACATGTGTGACAACATCGAGGCGCATGCCACAAACCGGAGGAGAAGCTCGGCCATATACATACATATGTGTAAGCTAAGGGTGGGTAACTCTGTAAATTTTCGTGTGCTGACTCAGTAACTCCAACTCACTTTAATGAGTCAGCACAGTGAGCTGGCACAAGTGTGCTATCGCACAATTGGTATGTACATCAAAATTATTGATGATGTTAGTAATCGAAATCGATTTAGAAAAGGTTATCCTTAGCTTCTGTTCGTAGCTGGCCGGAAAAATTTTACAAAGCTGATTTCAACTGGTGAGTTCATTTACAAAATAATTCCCTACTTAGTTTTGCTTGAGAGTTGTCACATAAGAATCTGTTAAATGGGCCATGCATGTAAGCGGTTACCCAACGCATAGCACTTCACATGTAGAATTCTGTTTGGTTTTGATTTTTACGTAAAAATGGTATAGCAGTGCAAGTATGCATAACTTGGCTATTCGCCTTGCTTCTTTTTAAATTTGGTAGTCGTATATTCAATTGATGGTTGGTCTAGTGATGCCATCTATTATGGTACTCTTTGGAAGATCGTATTGTGTGAATGTGTGAGCTCATCAATTGAGTTACCACATCGACACAGCAATGCAAGCCGCACCGAGCTATGCAAGTGTCAGCACATCAACTGAGTTACCATATCGACTCTGTAGCACACTGAGCTATACATTGTCAGCACATAAACTGAGTTACTGAGTTACAAATTTTTTCAGAGGTGAGTCTGAGCGTGCGGCACAGTTCTAAGAGTCAGCACAGTAACTCAGCACAGTGCTGAGTTACCCACCTCTAGTGTAAGCGCCAATCTATTATTACCCCGCAAACACATTCTGAACGTTCAGAAAATATGAGTATCAAAAACGAAAAATGTGTAACTCTTATATGAATCTTTTAGGATTCATATATGATCCAAGTTATGAGCCAGCACCTGTGCCAATATAAAAACAATAAATATTCGAAATTTGTATCTAAACTTGTCCATACAGAAATTGAAAATAATTAGAAAACAAAAAATTAAAACAAAATTTAACTGCAGCTGCTGCTATTAAATGCATGTTGGAATGCATATATGCACGTAAGTATGTACATGTATGTATGTTTTAAAAGAGTCCAAAATAAGCCGTATATCAGGCCAATAAGAGTCCAATACGACTCATATTGAGGCTCATTTGTTGTATGAATTTAAGCTCATATAAGTCGCCCTTCGGAGGAAGGGAGATACCCTCATATCGGACTTTTCGTAAAAACTCATTTACGACGTCAAATGTTTGTTGGGTATAATTAAATTTGCTACACTTTAAAATATGTACAACTTTAAAATTTTCTGTATCAGCGTATGCTTTCCTCTTTTTTTCTGAATATTGTTTTGTCTGCAATTGCAACAGCTCCCAGTGGCTCGGTTGCGAGCCATAGTATACTACATATTTATTTTGTTGCAGTTGTGGGTAATTTTGAAATCAGAAAGTATTTTCCTAATTGAAAAGGTGCTTGGAGAATATGTACATAATTGAATTATTGTCTGGGAGGTATTATTTTGGTCAGATTTGTGGAAGTAGTATGTACGATATCTCATTAAATTTTATATAAATTAATTTAAAGTTAAATTAATTAATACGCTTAGTGCTTTTCAAACAAATTAAATGATTTGATTGGATTTTCCAACATTTTCTTTGCGAAGTTGCGCCAGTTATTCACTACGCTGGTGGATCCTAAAACTCGCTTGCAAGCTTCTAAACATCCACATTCAATGTTAACCACAATAAAACCTCTTAATTTCACTGGACTGCATTGGAAATTCTTTAGCAAACTAATAGAAAATTCACGCCATTCAATACCGTTTGTGGTTCGCATAAATGATTACTTTGGTAGCCTGCAGCTGATTTCCCAAACTTAGCCAAATACAACGTGCTGCAAAATTTAAATCACTCACTGCC